TGCATAAATGTTCGCTATATTTGCAACGAAAGCAGAAAACCATGAGTGCAAAAAAGATAGGTAGATATTGTTGTTCTTTTCACTCTCATGATTTTCTGCTTTCGGTAGACGTATTCTGCTCACATGGTATCTCACCCTGATATACGTAAGAACAGTCTCTTGCAGCAGAATACAATTTACCATCAGAGAATAAATTTTGTTTGGTTGAAACATATTCTATGATCTAATGCAAATCCTTTCAGATCAAATATTAGTTATAATAATTATATAATTTCATAATATTCTTGATTCTAAGTTTTTTAAAATTTGGAGATTTTTTTGAAGATTTTTTTCATAAGGTTTTGAAGATTTTTGAAGAAAAGTTTTAGAAGTTTGAAGAATTTTGATTTTCCTGGTCTGGCAGCACTGCACTACCGTTCGAGCAGCCGACCTGTCTGGTCGCATCGCTCTCGACTATCGCGAACAGCGAATTCCCATTGTAACCACTTACATTCAAGCAGCCGACCTGCCTGGTCGCATCGCTCTCGACCGCCGCGAACAACGTTACACCAAAAGTAACTTATTTTCGACTTCTTCCTGAGCTGGATCAGATCAACCCAAATGTTGGCATAGGAGTTCCACAAGGAGGGGTCCTCTCCCCCCTCCTCTTCAATCTTTATATGAGGGATATACAACGCAACCTTGGACCAGATGTTAAGACGGGCATTTATGTTGATGACGTTTTTATTTACACTGAATGCTCCAATTATAACACAGGCCTACAAATTTCAGACCCAGAAACGGGATAAGTCATTTCCGATGTAATTTGTCACCCTGAATCCAAAACTGGCAGCGAAATTGCTCTATCACGTCAGGATTCTGAGATATTCTAACCTAAAAGAGTAAAAAAAGGCCATTTTTGGCAACATTCGACTCTCAATAAAATCTACAAAAATTTTTTTTTATCATTCGAACAAATTTTAAAGGAAAGTATAATTATTCACCTTTCAAAATATTTTACACCCGATCCGATCCGACTTTTTTTCACTAAGGTACAACAATTTAAAGTTTAGGTTACACGACCTAAAAACTGAAAAAACGAAGAAAAGAATAATTGGAAAGGACTTTAACTTAAGCATCTGATTCTTAATATTTTGGGATCGTTGATTAGAAAACCGATGTCGGATTTTCAAAATTCAAAATGGCGGATCCAATATGGCGACTGTCAAAATAAAAAATTGATCGGATTCGCTTGAAACTTTTTACTTGGGGGTTTTTAAGGTCGCTAATTACGAATCTGATGTCAGATTTTCGAAATTCAAAATGGCGGATGTAATATGGCGACATATTTTTAAAAAATTTAACGGATTTGCTTTAAACTCTTCGCTCGGGTGTTTTTAAGGTCGCTTATTACGAATCTGATGTCACATTTTCGAAATTGAAAATAATTGTGGATCTAATATGGTATTATATGTTAGTGAAATCGAAAAACGTGAAATTCGAAGTCTTTGGCGTACTTGAAAAAAAGATTTCCACACCCATAGATATCTAAATTGAGAAAAGATGTATTTACAGGTCTAGATATAAGCAAAGAAGATGAGATGAAATGGAATATCCCGAGGGATTCCCCGTGCGGGAATCCGGAGCGGAGTTTGTTACATATAATAAATGAATGTAACTTATTTTCATCTGTCAGACCAAACTTTTTCGGCTTTATAAACTCAATTTCACCTATTCAATATGGAGTTGTTACAAATTTGGACCCTTTTATTTTTAACATCAGCGAGGAGACTGTCAATGAATTTGATAGGTTTTTCTACCCTCCTGATTTTGCATTTATTATTTGAATTAAATTTGTATATTGTATCTCATGCTCGCGCCTGCGCCTCTCCTGCTCTTCCCTTAGCAAGTCTAATATGAATCACCCTAAACATGCAGCCACGCTCACAGCATAAACTCTTGCAATCCATTTGTGAACGGCACTTAAATATTAAATTGCCAAAAGTTACCAGATCTGGCCACTTGCAACAGCAAAAAGCCATAAACAATAGAAGAAGAAGAAGAAGACTTCTTCCTGAGCTGCCTACCTGCACGGTCGCACCGTTCCCAACTACCGCTAACATTGTTACGAATAAAATAAATTCACCTTTGTTTTTTCACTTTAATTAATTTCAGTTAATTCTCAACTTTTATTTGTTCCCATCCATTTAATTTTTTTTTAGTTTTATTCAACGCGCTTTTTACGTTATTTTTTTTTTTTATTCACCACCAATTTTTGGAAACTCTTGCGAGGGTCCAAAATTTACTTTCTTTTTATCCTTTCCTTTAAGAATTTTTAGAAACTTTCTGAGGGTCTAAAATTCTTAAACTTCCTTTTCCCAAGTAACACAATCTTCGGAAACTCACGGAGGGTCCGAGGTTGTGTTTATTCCTTTATTCCTTGTCATTTCCTTTCCCAGCGATTTTTGGAAACTTTCTGAGGGTCCATAATCGTTTTCCCCTTTTTTTCAAGACCTTTTTTGGAAACTCGCGCAGGGTCCAAAAATTATAAATTCTTTTCCCAATACTTTTTTTTCATTACTTTAAAATTGGTTTGCGCGTAAATAAATTCCCCAAATAAAGAAAACATCGGAAACTCACGGAGGGCCCGAGATTTCTTTCTCTTTACATTCGCCGTTTTCGCGAGTTTTCGGAAACTTGTTTTCGCAAGGGTCCAAAACTCGCAGATATTGTTAAAGCCCAAAATTGACGGTATCAATTATAAATTTCAGAAAATTCAGATATTTACATAAAATAATCACATTACAATTTTTTAAAAAAATCTAATTTTTTAGAATTATTATTCTTTTAAAAAATTCCCTTATCTTCAAAAAAAGTAAATTATACTTTTTGAAAAATATACTGTTTTAGAATTTATAATTAAAATTTTGTAGGAATGATGTATTTTCATAAAAATTTGGAAAATTCAAATTCTTAAAAAACTTGTTTTTCAAATATTTTCGAAAAAATTCTTTCAGTTAATTTTAATAAAATATATACTTTGTATACATCAATCGATTCGTTTTCTTGTCAGGAATGTAATTTTGAGAATGATTAATAAAAATATTAACAAATAAAAAAATTATTTTAAAAAATACAAAAAAAATTTTTTTCTGAATTTTAAAAAAATTGTATACAAAAAAATTTTGTGGATATTTTCGAAAATCCTTGTGTCAGATTTTAGGTATTAATGACTGCAATAAACCTGCAAAATTTCAGGACAATCCATCAAAATTTGTCTGAGATAATTTGTACACAATTTTTGTGACATACACACACACACACACACATACATCTGTACATTTGCTCAGAATTGAATATACCTACGGAATATACATATGTTTTAGATGAAAATGAGTCCATATAACCTTCTTTTGGAAAATTGAAAATCGTCACGAATGCAAAGCTTCCTCATGAGGAAGCAAAAGTATGAAGATTCACAGTTACAAATATTATTGTTATATTATAATAAAAAATTGAATATTAGCAAAAAAATTTTGAAATTGTTGAAATTTGAAATTGAAATTAAAAAAATAATTGTTTTGCAGTTTTTCGAAATGATTAAATAACAAAAGGTTTCAAAATTAAATTTTTGTTTTAAATTGTTTTAACAATTTAATTAAATATTTAATAATGGTAATTAAATACTTATTTTGGGAAATTATTATAAACTTTTGAATAAATTTAGTTAAAAATTCTAGAAAATATTTATTCGAGTTTTTTTTAAAGAAAAATGTAAAATATGAAAAAATTATTTGAAAATAAGGAAATTTTACAAAAAATTTGAATTGAAGTTATCAGAATAAAGTAAAAACTTTAATAATTTTTTAGGAAATCGTAGAAAAGTCAAGAAAATAAGAAAACAAATTTTTATAATTCGGAATAAAAGAAACGACTTTTTAAACTTTTTTTTTATTTTGAGTCGAGTGAAACGTTTTTTTTTTACTTCTTAAATCGATCCGAGGCCTGCATATTAATTTTAAAATATAATAGAATTCTTAATGTTATTCTTTATACATGTAAATTGTAATTTGAAAAAGTGAGAATATTTAAGATTTTTTTTCTTTTATTATTTTTGAAAAAATTGCACGTTTATGTCCCGTATAGTGTTTAAATTGTACAAAGAATATTTATTATTCTTTTTTTTATTTTTCATAAAACTTAGCTTATGAATTATTTTTGCCAGAGCTTTTCGATTTTATTATAGTACATGTAATATATTATCTCAAATATAAATTACAAATAATGAAACGAAATATTTTTAACTAAATTTTTAATATAAATAATATCAGTCGTTTATTTAATGTTGAAAGCATTCCAATGTTGCTCTAGATTAGTTTCTTCGTTTTCTCATCTCATCTTGAATTTTTGGTTTGTGAATTATTTATATTTCAAGAAAAAAAAATCATCTCCTTTCATTTCGAGAATTGATTTTTTTTCGAAAATAGTTTATGTTTTGAATTTTTACGTCTATTCATCTTCTGTTTATGTATTATTTTCCACTTTAAATGTTTATAGTTTAATTCCTTCTATAAACAGAAATGAAAAAGAAAATTATTTCAAAATGGATGATTTTTGACGAAAATGTTTTGTCATTTTTTTTTTACTCTTCCCAAAAAATATTTCTTTCTGCTTCCACGAATAATTTAAGTTTACAAGTTCGTTTGTTTTTTCCTTTTGGTTTGCAATTTAATTGAATTTAGGATCTAAAATTCTAAATTGTCAATTTGTTGAATGTATTTTTTTTCTCTTTTTAGAAAATAATGTGAATTTTGGTAAAAAGAAAAATATTTAATCAGGAAATTATAAATTTTGAAAAATTCTGAATTTTCCGCCGATTTTTCGGAAATTCGTGTTTGTTACAATAAAAGGTTTAAATTTGCAAAAACTATAACAAAGAAAGGAAGCATACTATTGTTTTTTGTTTGACGACTCCGTGTTGTCTTGTGTTTTGCTGCGTTTCTGGAATGATGACGGTGTAGGGTGCACACAGTCCTGGACCTCGTGCTCTTTCTATGGGTATTTACCCCATACAAAGTATTCGATCTCAAATTCTAGATATGCCTGATGTAAGTACTCACGGTCGATTGTAGAATATTGAAACAAAAAAAAGTATTTTAACTTTGGTATAATTTGTAGGTCGTTCGTCGTAATATTGTGGCATGATTATTTTTGCTCAGCCTATAAATATTCTCTCTTTCTCTCTATTTTTTTCATTTTGTTTGCTCATTATTCGTAAATCTAGTGGGCTACTTTCTTTATTATTGTTATTCCAATTCTTATTTTTCTCTTGAGTAAAATTATTTATTTTTTCACAATAGATCAATGCTGCTGTCGTTTCCTTGCTCGTTTATTTGGCGAAATTAATTTTTCAATCAGTTGTTAATATTTGCTTTGAATTCACCCCTCTCTTTATTACCTTTGTATTTAATTAATAATTTATTAAATTAATTTAATTAATTATTATGAAATTGATTTAATTAATTGTTATGAAATTAAATACGTAAGAATTTATTTAATCGTTACGACTTAAATGAAATAGAACTTGAAAACAATTTCTAATTTTAAGAGGACAATTAATATTACTATTAAGTGTTTATTTATTTCTGAACTTTAGCTCTTGAGAAAGAATTTTTTCGTTGAATGGTGGAGGCTTTATTAATTAATAATAGAAAAAATAGGTAGTAATTTGGTAGTTAGAGTATTTTAATGAATGTAGAATTATTTGACTGGCTTATTTTAATAATTAATAAAAATAATTATATTTCTAAGAGTAATTCATTTTTTGTATTTGTACAGAATGCTCTCTTATCATTTTGCACTTTTCTTGCTTTTCTACGTTGAAGTATAATTGTTACTTAAATAATAATTTCGTAATCATCTTGAAATAATCACTACCTTTTCATCGCAATTTCATTTCTTTCTCTCTTTCTCTTTATTTCATTTTTTTTCACTGCATTTTGATTTGAAATTTTTTTATGCATGACGAATGCCTTTGGATTTATTATGAATGTTTTTATTTAATTTAGTATTTCACGATTAGAAGGAATAAAATTTATAAACTCTCTTCTTGCTCGAGAATGAATTTTTATTAATTTTATTCTATTTTGCACTTTATAATTTTATTTATTATTTCTTTGTGACTTTTAAGTGAAATTTTATTTTCTTTTTCAAAATTTCAAAATTTTCTTTTCACTTTATTTTCTTCTTTGAAATTTTGAAATTTGTAGACAATTATTTTAATGACTGTGCATGACAAATAATTATAAAAAATTGAAAAAAAAACAAAAATTGTCGACATTGTATAAAAAAAATTTTTTTAAGAAGGTAATAAATTAAAATTAATTAGAATTGAACTAAAGTTACATTAAGCATGATTGACGTTTTTTGCAAAATTGTCTAATGTTTGTTTTTTTAAAGCATTTTTAAAAATAATAATCGATGTGAAGATTAAAATCTAGGGGAATAATTGAATAAGAAAAATATTAATTGTGCATTTCTTTTGACAGTTGTTCACACTTTGGTCATGGCTGCCTGTCAGGATTACCATGTATCAACCAATATTGCTCTATACCACTGAAGAACATGGCTGTTCGCTAACAACTTTTTATGTTCGAGTTGAACAACATGAACCAACTCTTCTTATGATTAAAACATGCAACAATGAGGTGACCTGATTAATTAAAATACCAGTTAGAAATCATTCATAAACTACTTCTTTTTTGGAAATTTTCAACCGTTTTTTTTATCCCTTAAGGGATAAAATTTTCATGTTTTAATCTCTAAAAACTTGAAGAACTACGTAGTTTATGTACGATTCATAATATTGAAAATATTCTTCCAAAGGTTTTCGGTGCTTATTGTTCGACGAGATGGTGCGAGAGAAATTTGAAGGATGACAAAGGACAAAGGCAAGCTTATTTTGGCACGGGAGAAACATTCCTGTTTAGTTTATATCCGGAGAGAGCAAAATATCCTTGGATTGGAATGGATTCTTCTCATAATGATTCTCGTGTACATCATTCGGCAGAATTGTTCATGGCTGCCGATGCGAAAATGATTACAATCGGAGGAGGGTAAATAAAATTATACGAATTCATTTATTCAACGAATTCAGGCCTTGGATCGACTTCAAGGGCCAAGAAAGTTGTAAAAAAATCGAAAAAGTCATTTATTTTATTCAGAGTAGTGACAAAATTTAATTTTTAATTCTCTGATGATTTCAGGAAAAATTTTTAAACCTTTTTCTTTATCTTGATAAATGATAATTTCAATTCTTATTTTTCATTAAATTCAATTCATTCAAGTTTATTTCAATAATATAAATTTTATTTTATTTCAAAAAATTACAGCTGGAATTCTTATAAAGTCAATTATTTTCTTGAATTCTTAATTTTATTTAATTTCTAGAACATTTCTTCAAAAGTTTAACAATTTTTTAAAATATGTAAGTATGTATTTAATTATTTAAAAAAAAGAAAATTTCATTTAAAAATTCGTCAAAAATTGATTTCTTTTCAATTCAACATTCTGAAATTACAATCATTTGAAAGTTGTTTAATGAAATATATTTTAAAATTCAATTAGTTTCAAGAAAATTTAGTTCTTTAGAATTTTTTTATCAAAGTTGCTTAAAATTAAAATTTTTTAAATTTTAATTTAAAACCGTTTGAAATTTAGTTATTTCTAAAAATTATTTTCTAGAATTTTCAAAAAGTTATTCTAGAATTTAATTATTGAAATACGAAACTTTAATTTTTTTTTAATAATTGTAAATGTATCTCTACATGTTTTTCAGAAGTTATTAAGGTGAATTTTTGAAAGAATATAAACAGAATGTTAACAAGAATTTAATTATTTTTATATAGATATATATAATAATATTCTTTACAGGAATTCAATTATTTTCGAAATAGTCCCATTTTATCAAAATTGGTCGCAGATAGTCGAAAATGTCGTACAATCCAAGGCCTGATAATTATTATAGATATTTAAGTAATATTTTGTTTTTTATTGAAAAATTAAAACTATGAAAAAATGGTCTTTTATTTTTTTTTTGTTTTTTAATACTATTGTTTTTAAAGAAATATCCGATAAACAATCGGAACAAAAGTTAGTCCAATGTTTTTTTTTAAAGAAAAGATGAAATTAAATTTTAAATTCCTTTTGGTAGAAGCATAAGGAATTTAATTTTCTACATTTTGAACAATTTAAAGATATATTTGAATATAAATTATAATTTTTTATTAATAATAAATGATTTAAGTAATATAGGTAATCTAAAATTTAACAAATGTTTCTTATTGACAGAAAATTGTAACTTTTATTCAAATGCAACTTTCAATTTGTTTTAAATGTTCAAAATTAAATTCTTCGCTTTTCCACCAAAACGAATTTAAAATTTAATTTGTCTTTTTCTTTTAAATTACGAAATTATGACATTGGACTCACTTTTGTTTTACTGTCCATCATATTCTTCCTTAAACATTATTAATGTTGATTTCGATTCCAATTAATAATAATGACAAATGAATTTAGTGACGGTCAAGCTATTTGGATGGACGAGAATATAAGGTTTGGCAAAACCGATCACTGCTCAACGTTCAACAATCCTCCATTATGTGCCAGCGGTGACTTTGAGATTCGAGTATTGGAAGTCTACGGATTCTCCGGTGCTTAATTTACTGGAATTGTTTATAATAAAAAAAAAATAGGTATGTGATTCCAACTGCCATATAGAATTTTATATTTTTTCGTTAGCGACACAAGACTCACATCTCAGATTCATGCGTGTTATTTAGAAAAAAAGGGAAACGAAATGAAAAAGCACACATACATTAATTTTAGTTTCTCCGCCACTCACTATTCAAAAAAAAAAAAAAAAAAAAACCGGTTTATTCAGTAAAAAAAAATTTACCATCTATTCCATTTTTTTTATCTACGTACCTGCCTTCTCATGTCAGTCTTAATTTGTTTCGTTTCTTTCGTTTTACTTTCTTTCTCAATCAATCAAACATAAAAAATACCTATTCATGCCTTATTCAGAATAATATAAATGAATTTTTAACAAAAAAAAAAAAAAAAAGAATTTGCTAATAAAGAGTTTAGATTATTATCTCATCAAAAGAAAAAAGAGAAAAAGAGAAAACTAGATGAAATCGCAGTGACAAAATTTTGACAATAATCAAAGTTTAGTAAAGAAACAATTCACATGAGAATTACTTAAGTTAATCGGACCAGAAATTGTCATTGAAAATGTGTATATATTTATTTAATGATTTATCCAATGTATAAATGTTTTGTTTCGTAACATTTAGCTCTGTTACTCCCTCTAGATTATAAACAATTTAATTCAACGTTAGTTTTGCTTTTAAAAAAGAACAATATTTACTAATAATGAAAAAAATGCCCGATTTTTGTACATATTATACATATAGAGAATAATATGAAAGAAGTATTTGAGTATTGAATATTGAATTTTAATTATAAAATATTTAATACTAGAGTGAATATTAGACATCAATATTGTGATTGGCAGCAAAAAAAAAAAAAAAAAATGCTGCAAATTTGAAAGATTGAGTAAAAAAAAACAGTGATCACAAAAAATGGACTTTATTTGTCTCTATCTGATGTGTCGTGCGTCTTTGTGGTCAATTAAAATATTGTTTTTTTTTATCAAATCCATTTTGTTAATGTGATTCTTTAATTAAGGAAAAACGGCAGTCACTCATTTTTTTTACTAATAATTGATTATCAGAGAAGAGAGAGTTAATTGTGATTTATTAATTTGAAAGTTAGCGACGTTTATAATGTTAAAAGAAACTGTTACTAATGAAATAATTTTTTTCCTTTTTTTTATTAAAATTATAAAAATACTGAAAAGTATGGTTCAGATTTAATTTTTACTTGGAAGAGTGCAGCTTTTTTAATTTTTAATGACCAAAGAGAATTTTTTTTTTCTTATATTATTATGTAAACTAACTTCTTGCTTTTATATATATAAATATATATTTTTTTTGTTTTGTATTTGTCATTTGTATGTGATGGCTGGACCCATTTTTAGAGTATGCGAAAATTGAGGAAAGTTTGATGGTTTTTTTTTATTCTGACTCACATTAAGGCTTATTATTGTTGAGCGCATTATAATATGCACCTTGGTGTCGAGGCACACTCGACAAAATGTACAAAAGAAATATATTTGGTACAATATTGTCATTAGATTCTATGATAATATAGTTTATAGCATGACGACAAGACGCTGCGATTGATTCGATAATTTTTACTCTAAACGAATCCATATATGCATATCAATCAGCAATCATTGATCATTATTTCCGAATGGAACCAAATTATAAAATATCAATTGTATTTGTTTTTGTTTCATTTCGATTTTTGGCTTATATTTTTCATTTGTTTTTCATTTTCATTTTCATTCCATCAAGCAATTTTTAACAAATTTGATTCTTCTAATTCTAAATTTTTTTTTGGTAGTTAAAACTGAAACCTCGATTCAAAAGAAAATTACTCCTTTATTCTAATATTTTTTCGCATAATTTCGTTGATTCGTGTGAATAACAATTTGCCAGTAATAAAGACAATAATTCTCGGTTATTTCTTTTAATTTCGATTTCTATTTTTCACTGTTTGCAAATTTGACAAATTCGTTATCTTCGTTAATTTGTCAAGAACTTGACATTGTATTGAGTCCATTTCTTAATTAGTAGATTTAAATTAATTGAGAATTAATAAAAAAAACAATTGAAAAAAATTAAGAATTGATAACAAATTAAAAATTAAGAATTACATAATGAAAAAAGAAAACGAAAAGATTTTTTTTTATTCGACAGGAATATTTATTAAATTATTCTCGATTCTTTTTCTAAACATTTGGTACTGAAAGTGTAATGAAATGAAGAACTTGAGAGGTTTGGACAAAAACGGAAACAAATTTTTTTTAAAACAAGGAACAAATGTATTTTTTAATTCACAACAAAATATTATTTATATATTTTTTTTTTGTACAGTCATAGCATTTAATGTGATTTCTCTACCTGCGATTAATATAGATCTTCCCTGCTGTGTCCTACTCTCACTTAGGATAATAAATATGTAAATTAATCTGTTGTATTAAAATATTTAACGTTTTTTTTAATATGCACAGAGAGACAAAAATTGAGGGTCCCAATCAAAGAACCGGTTATAATTTTTTTAAGCTCAAAATCATTGCCCTGTAAGTCGAAAATTAAACTGTTTTTAATCCCAATTTTTTGAGAAACATTTTGGTAATCTTTATACAAATACAAAATGTTTTCAAGAAATTGAAATTTTAAATACTTTTTTTATTTAGAGGTCGAGAATTTTGAGTCTTAAAAACTTATAACCGGTTCTTTGATTGGGACCCTCAATTATAGGCAAAATAATTTCATTATATTGAAGTAATTTTCTGTTTTTTTGCAAATAATTTCTAAGTATTTTAATTTTTTAAATCAATCAAATAATTGCAAGTATTTTATTTTGAAATATTTTAAATAAAGAAATAAATAATTATCGATTTTTCCAATTAAATAGAAATTTTTTGTTTAATTTTTTTCAATAAGACACTTATTAAAATACATGTAAAGATAAAATGATCTCAAATTATTTAAGCAAAAAAAATGCTAAACGATTTTTACAAACTTCGTAAAATGTAATAGAAAACAAAATAACCAAAAAACGATGTTAAATAGAGTTTCATCGAAATCTGTGCACAAACTAGAAAAAAAGAATGGGCCTAATAAAACAAATAATAATAATAATAAAAGAAAGAATTGCAGGCACTAAAATATAATAAATAGATTATTTTATTCAGTTATTGCATTAACGACTTATGAGCTTATAAAATCAATTATTGTTCAACACTTCAGTTTTATATTGTGTAAAATTTTGTATATTTTGCTTTAGTAGCTTTTATTTTTGAAAGCCAATTTATTGTTTATACAATTATTAATTTTAAAAAGCTAGATTAGGCTTATTAAATGCTAATTTTCTTTGAATTTTTTTTACTTTATTCTGTGTTATGTATAAAAAAAAGAAAATGAATGTTTTATTTTTTCAAATTATAAGAAATACATTTTTTTGTGTACAATATTTTTTTTGTTTTTAATTTTTATTTTGTGTTCCAATTTATTTTTAAAAATTAAAAGAAAATAAAATTTAGATTTTTAATTAATTAAGAAAAGCAAAGTGGAACTTTTTATTAATTAAATAAAATGAAATTTTCATTTTTAATTAATTAAGAACAGGGTTGATCCACTGGTCAGGGAAATCAGGGAAAAGTCAGGGAATTTTATCAAAAGTACTGGGAAAATATTCGAAAAAAATTCTAGAATTCAATTATTTTCATACCTACATATAAAAAAATTCTTCGCAGGAACTCAATTGAGGGCCTGCATACAATAACAACCGCTGCGCTTGGTTGAAGGGGATAGTACCAGTCAGGTAGCAGTGTACGGCCCAGAGGCTCTCACTGCTGTCTGACTGGTATTATCCCCTACAACCAAGCGCAGCGGTTGTTATTGTATGCAGGCCCTCAATTATTTCTAAAAATGTTTTCAAAATCCTTTATAAGAATTCAATATTATTCTCAATACAAATTTTACTTGAATTCCTCAAAAGAATTTAATTATTTTCACAAAAATTCCATACAATTCTTCAAAACAATTAAATTATTTTCAAAAATTTTAATAAAATTCTATGCAAAATTAAATTATTTCACATTCAAAATTATAAAAAAAATTACGAAAATTAAAAAAGTACCTAATATAATTTATAATTTTTTTTTTGCAATATAGTAGGTATCAAAAAACTTATTCTGTTAATTTGAATTAGTAATAAAAAACAAGTAACTATTTTTTTTATTTTAAAATGTTAAATTAATGCTATTAATTTTATTAATATAGATTGAATTTACATAATTTTCAAATTAAAATTTTAGAAAAGTTAAATTTAAAAAATTTTTTATTAAAAATTTAAAAAAGTTACTTTTTATTGAAATTTTATGAAATTGAATTGTAAACAAGTGGATTTAAGAAATATTTTAGTTAAACTTTTTTTTTCTTTAAATAAATAATTGAATTCTCAAGAGACTTTCTCAAAAGTTATTGAAAATAATTGAATTAGAGAAAAAATTTAGTTAAAAATTACTAAATAATTAAAAAATCAAATCAAATTTTTGTGGCAAGCCTGAAGAAAATAAAAATTTTAACTTTCAATTAATTAAAAAAAATCAAATTTTAATTTTGAATTACTTAATGAAAATAAATTCTAATGTTTAGGTAATTATTTTAAAAAAAATTAAATTTATTTGAGACAAAAAGAAAGTAATTTTTGAATTAAATATAAAAAAGAAATATAAAATTTTCTGTATTATTATTAATATTTTATTTTTAAAGTTCTTTCATTTTCGACGATAATTTCACTGACACATAGATATGAGAATTAAGTCTGAAAAAGGAGAGAAGAAATCACAAAAAAATAGAAAAAAAAAAAAAAATTTGAAATTGTTGAAATTTTCTCCTCTGTAAGACGTCAGTTGCTCGGTTTATAAATTATCGTAAAAACATTGCACATTGCAACATTATATTCGTATTTATTTTTATTTTTACTACATTATTATTATTTTTAATATTATTATTATCATTATTATTATTAATATTATCATTATCACTATTTTATTTTCATTATTATTACAACTATTATTATAATTATTATGTATTATTATATTATTATTAATATTATTATTACTATTATTATTATTATTATTATTAGTTTCATTATTATTAATATTATTCTATTATTAAAATTGTCATTATTAATATTATTGTAATTATTATTATTATTATTATTGTCAGAAACTGTATATTTACATATTTAGATGAATATTTAGATCAAGTGTTGTATAGAAAAGTAATCAAAGCGTCATGACAAACGCAGGGCACTGTTAATGCAAAACCCATAGCGTGTTAAAAATTCTAATTCAATTAAATTTCAAGGAGCCGAGGGAAAAATTGTTCTTGATCATATTTTTTTTTCTTTTTTTTTCTTTTTAATGTAAAATTTAATAGTATAGTATTATTTAATGTAAAATATCCAATACAGTAACTAAATGAAAATAATATCTAGAATATTTTCTAATAAGCATTTAAAAAATGCCCTTTGTTAAAAGAATATTTATATTTATAATAGTTTTGGCATACATATATATTTGAGTTGTTGGAAAAAAATCGATATTAAATTATTTATTTAGTTAGTTTTAATGTTATTTATTTATATATACGATAATAAGAAAAATTAATATAAACCGCTTAAAAAAATAAGAAAAAAGAAAAGTTCTACTTTTAAAAATATTTAAAAATATTGAAATAATTTTTAATTGAATATAATTCATTTATTTATGTATAAAAATTTATTTATATATGAAAAAATACAGGTTGATAATAATATATTATGTAAAGAAAAAAAGAGAAATTTTTTTCTCCTGGTGCTTCTTTAAGCTCCTTGAAATTTTGAGTGATTGAATGTATATGAATGAAAGAAGGAAAAAAAACAGCAGGTTATTATTTTGTGTATTTTACAGAAATGTGTATAAATTATATAGTTAAAAATCGAAAGTATTATTATATTATTATTATCTATTGAGAATGGATTTTTTTTAATTTCTTTTTTTTCTAATTCATAAGCGCGAGTGAGTGTAGCCTAAAAGATAATCTTAAAGATTGTAATCTGTACTATAAAAATACTAAAATAATTATAATGGAATGTTACTACGCTTTCCGTGTATAAGACAGAAAAATTATTAACGTTTTCCAATTGAAGTTGTTGCTATACATTACCATATCATCGTCGTTGTCGTAAAAATAATTGCAATTAAATAGAATTCTTGTTAAAGGAACTAAGTTTCTTTTATTTATTATTATTGTCAATCATTTTTTTTATTATAGTCAATCATTTTTTAATTCTTTTATTTTTACAGGTATCGTAAAAACTATTTTTATCGTATAACTATTATTATCATCATTGGTAATAAAATTTGAAAACTTTCTTTTTTATAAGTTGGAGAATTTATAGTGGAAAAAAACAATGTTCATTGAAAAAAAATTATTCATTATCATTATATTCAAGGCTGTGTAACAAACTATGTGTACTACTTTTCTGTTTTATTTATTTCTGTTTTTTTTTTTTTTGGTCTTTATCTTAATTACATAATTCTAGTGTGAAAATTGTGAAAGAAAAATTAAATATACCTTTTCATCGATATAAGTAAAAATATAGCTCATTGTAATGAGCAGTTGTCAATAATTTTTTTCAATTATTCTCTGATGAGAAATTAAAAAAAAGCTCATTTACGTTTTAGCAAAGAATTATAATTATATTATAATTTTTTTTTGCTTAGTAATATTTTTCATGTAATTGATAATATTTATAAATGACGATAAATTAAAGTAGATAATATTAAATACACTTAAATATTTTTAAAAGTAGTTTTAAAAGTAATTTTTTTAAAAGTACAATTTTTCAAAAATTTATTTTCTAAAAAAACTGGATTAATTAATTTAAATTAATTTGAATTTAATATATTTGCTTTATTATTTTATTAAAAAATGATTTTGTTAAATAGTGAAATAAATAAAAAATAGAAACAAATAAAAAAAAGATTTAGTTAAATAGCGAAATAAATACAAATAAAAAAAATATTTAGTTAAAATAAGAAAATATGAAAGACCATTTTCTGAGTTAGTTTGATAATTTTGAAAACAATGCATTTATATTATATAGTTCTGCAGTTAAAATTAAAAGATACATATTTATATAATAATACACGTTCTGTTTTATAGATAACTGATCATGTTTTATTTATCGTTTAATAATGGCACGTACGATGACTTAAGGATGTCTGTCATCTGTCGAGAACAAGGCAGAAAGGCACGTAAGTAATGCGAGAAAACGGACTTTATTATTTCTTGTCAGTTGGAGTCGACAAAACGAGTGATTCGAATGCCGAACGTGCGCCAGTCGTTTATTGTTGTAAAGTGTTTGCTTAAAAAGAAAAAAATTCGAAACCAATTTAAGTTTTAAATCAACTTTGTTCTATATTTAAAGGTAAGTAAAATATTTCAGAAACAATCTAATTTACACAAATGTAAATATTTATTTTACTATTTTTACTTTCTTTGACAAATTTATTTTTTATTATTAACATTGTTATTATTATCATTATTATTATTATTATTATTATTATCGATAGTTCCAGAAAAATTAACTCCAGGGAATTTTCCAGAATTTCAGATTTATTTTAGTTTTCTATTATAAAATAATAAAATATTGCATAAATAATATATCATTTTTGTTTGTTTTATTTTTATTGTTTACTTACTAATCAATCTTTTACGTCCGAGAAATAGTAATTATAGTGAAGGAGAATAATTAGTTTACTCCAACGTTTCGAAATCTAACTGATTTCCTCTTGAGGGAGTCAAAAAAATTAATAACTAAACAGTCGTCATCAAGAAATAAAAATAAATTCACCCATCAGTAAACTAATTTTTAAAAACTATTTGTCCGAATGTTTTTGTTTTATTCTCCTTCACTATAATTGTTTACTTACTATTTAATTTTAATATTCATTTTGTTTTTTGCTATTCGTTCAAAATTTACGAATTGAGTCGCTTTTATTTTATTTCTGTTTTTTTTATTTGTTTAATTAAAATTTAATATTGAATAGAAATTTCAAGTGCTTAAAAATCGATTTCAAAAATTAACCCACGGTTACCACAGGTCAGGGAATTTAGGAAAAACTCAGAAAATTTTATCAAAAGTACTGGAAAAATATTCAATTTCTAGAATTCACATAAAAATTTCAGAATTCTATTGTCTATTATTATGTCTTTAAAAATATTGAAAAGATTTAATTTAATTTTTAATTTCTTCTACTTCTGACAATAATCGAACTTTACAGATTTAAATTTGAATTTATACAACTTTAATAAAATTCTCCAAAATAAAAATTTTAATTTAATTCTTTAAAAAGAATTTCATTATTTTAACAAAATTACCATAAAATTCTTCAAACCAATTCAATTATTTTTAAAAAAGAAAAAAAAGGTAATAAAATTCTTCGCAAAAAGATTATATTATTTTCAAGACAATTTTAATAAAATTTCTCGAAAGAATTCATTTATTTTTAATAAATTTTAATTAAATTCTATATAAGAATTTAATTATTCTGAATATAATTTTAATAACATTTCTCAAAAAAATTCAATTATTTTTTTAAATTTTTACAAATTATTTTCAATAGGGGAGAATGGGGAGTTACGAAGCACGCTTTGTTTATGAGTTGTAACTTCAAAAAAATTTTTTTTTAAATTTTCTCCACTTGAATCTTTAGAGGGTCTTCAAATATGCTTACTGGTTGAAGAATTTGCATGAAATAAAATAAAATCGACAATTTTTTTCAGTTGGGCCAAAAAGCTGCTTTTTCAAGTTTTTAAAAATCATGGGGAGTTGTGAAGCACTACTAAAAATCGCTAAAAATGATATTTTTTGGTAAATATTCTTTATTGAGATTTTGCATAAATCCTTTTGAATATCGAAAACCTAATCATTGCTGGTTATTATATGGGTGAACTTATCTTTTTGATTTGTTCGCGAATTTTGTAAGAATTCTACAAAAAGGAACACTCAAAAAAACTTTATAAACGAAAAGTTGAACACACTGTCTTGAAAGATATGCAAAATATCTGCTATCGAAATGAATCCAATTAAAAAACGAAGATATTAGGTGAAAAAATATTGAGAGTAAGTGACATCTATCAAAACAATTACTATGCGAGATCTATGGCCGTGCTTCACAACTCCCCATGCTTCATAACTCCCCATTCTCCCCTACAATTTTAATAAGTAAAAAATTTTGCATAAATTCAATTATTTTCAAAAAAAAAAATAAAATTCTTCCAGGAATTCAATTATTTTGAAGACAATTTGAATAAAACAATTGAATTACTTTCAATACAATTGTATTGAAAGTAATTCTTTGAATCAATTCAATTATTTCTAATAAAATTTTAATAAAATTTTTCGCAAGAATTCAATTATTTTTATAAATAATAATATTCGTCGCAAGAATTCAATTTAAAAAGACAACCTAATAAATTTTTTAAATAATTTTACTAAAAAAATTTTAAATAATTTAATTTCAAAAAATTATAATAAAAAAGTTCTAAGAAATATCTACTATTTAAAAAAATAGTTGAATAGATTTTTTTTTACTATTTTTACAAATAATTGAATTTCAAATTAAAATTTTAGAAAATTTGAATTAAAAAAAATTTTTTTTTTTCTTTAAATAATTAATTGAATTTTTAAGAAACTTTCTCAAAAATTATTCCAAATAGTTAAGTTAGAGAAGAATTTTAATTAATAATTCTAGAAAATAGTTGAATTGATGTCTTGAAAATAATTTTGGATAAGTTACAGTATCAATTCTTATAAATTGTTGAATTTTGAAGGAATCGAACATTTTTAAAATCTTAATTCCTGTGGAAAAATAATAATAATGATTAAAAATTTATTAAAAAAAACTGTTGACATTTCGAATAATTTTTCAAATAAAGATATTCAGAAATAAATGTATTACAAACTCTTTATATCTAATTATTTTTAGAATGAATTAAAATATTTTTTAGAGTCAGAGAAAAAGTCAAAGTTCTTTATGGAAATCAGGGAAAAGTCAAATTTTTGTGGCAGCCCTATAAATCTTTTTTTTTTTTTCTAAAAGAAAAATTTTCAAGTAGAATATTTAGAAACTTCTGTAAAGATAATTTGAAACTGAAAAATAACTAATTTTTATGAATTAGAGAAAGTTTTTAATTGGACGTCCCATTTAATCTATAAATTCAGGGCCATATTTAAGTATTCTTAAGGCGATTTACTCAGATGTAAAATACGTCAGTACTTGTCAGAATACAAAACAATATAATGAGATAAAAAAAAGAAATACTTCGCATGGCTATAAAATATTTTAATATTTTATTAATATTCATCAATTAATTATTATTTTCGATAAAATTTATTTGTTTCGAAAAAAAATCCATTTTAACAATTTAATTTCATGATTTATTGCTGTGTTTGTTTCAGACAAAAGATCCTCATTTCATTTGAATATTAAAATGTCAAGGGCAATAGCGAATTTGAAAAATTTTGAGGATTCATTAAGTTCATTTCATGGTAATGTCAATGGAACTCGAGGACGAAGGCGAAATAGTCTCGCCGCCAATCTTCACGCAAATCACGTAATTTTCGGAGGTTCGTCAAATTCTGATGTTATGGAATTTGCACGCCGAAGATTGAGTAATGTAAGCGATGTTGTTTCGAGAAAATTATCTCGTACAATTGGATGGAAACCTATTTTTGCTCCCGTTGAAGAGACCGTCTCACAAGTACTTTTTTTTATCTTTTTCCCTTTTAAATTCCAAATATTTGTAATTTTAATATAAAAGACTTTCTTTATATTAAAATTACAAAGAATTACATTACAAAATTTTTTATAATGATTAAAAAAATTGATCTTGGAGAAATAAAAAATATTTAAATACACAGAGTTCGGCTCTCTGCGCTCAGTACATTCGGAATCGATTAAAGAGATCAGGAATTTATCATCGAAAATTGGGTCTGAAACGAATGAGAAGTTCAACATTATTGCCGGACATAACAATTGTCAAGGAGGCTTGTCCAGTGCTCATTGCAGTTGGAACTGAATTAGAGAAGGAGCATCCGAATATTTATGTGAAAATTGGAAGACAAGTGGGATGCGGATGTTTTTCCGATTATTCGGTAGGTAATACAATGACTCACGTATCGCGAGAAATTATTCGTCACGACATCACTTGGAGTAAAATTATTGCAATCTACGCGGTTGCTGGTGGCATTTCTGTGGATTGTGTTCGACAAGGAAAACCCGAATTTCTTCCCATTATTCATAAAGTGGTTGCGAATATTGTCGAAAAAGATCTCGCCCTTTGGATTGAAACAAGCGGAGGATGGGTAAATATAGCTTTTGAATTAAATTTCTTCCTTGAAAAAGTTGTAATAATATTTAAAATCTCTTTCATTTCTAGAGTGCTTTTGTATCTCGATATAGATTACCTCCAAAAACGTCAGAATGGAATGCCAAAAAGCTTACCTTCATTGCTTCAGTAATTACTCCGATTTTCATTGTTTTGTGGATTTTTCTAAGACTTCTATTATATTGACTTCTATTTCAATATATTAAATGCATTTTAATATATTACTTCCATTCGAATATATTATCTCCATTACAATCTATTCTATAAAGTGCAGTGTGGAAATTTCTTCAAGTGCCAGGTGCAAAAAATAATTCAGGATTCCACGCATACACCATAAATTATTCAAGGTGAGGAAATTAATCTATCATTTGATTCACTATTTTGACTTTTTTCAATTTCATCCAAGTCTCTCAATCTGCTGAAATTTTCCTGAAACAATTATTAAACAGTTAGGAACAATTAAATTATTAAAAACTATCAAGACTAAATTTTCCTTTCCCATTGTTACTTTAAAAGATTTGCTTTTTAAAATTTAATGAAAATTCTTCATTTTTTAAAAAATATAATTTTTCTAACACTTTTTCCTTAAATTTAATTATTTGAACAACTCGTATAGAAATCGCCAAGATATTTCTAACAGCAATTTGAATGTAAGATATTTTTGGTTAAATAATTGAACTTTCCAATGGTACTCGAGGACCACTGGAACTATCCTGGTAATAGGTTTATTCTAAATTTTTTTAAATTCAATTATTTTCCAAATTTTCAATTAGAATTCTTCAAAAATACGATTATATTTCAAAATAATTTTTAAAAGTAAACAAATAAAATTTATTAAAATATTAAATTTATTTCAATGAAATTTGACAACATTTTCAATTTTTTAAAATTATTTTAGGAAACACAATTATTTTTAAAAAATTTTATTAGGTACAATTTTTCAAGAAAAAAATTTTTTACGGAATTGCTAAATTAAATTATATTTTAAAACTTCAATAGGTACTTTTTGTTAAGAAAAAAATTAAAAACTTATTCTTATTCATTTTTTCACAGGAATTAAAATTTCGAATAAGTTTAATGAAAAACCTCATGAAATTTAATTATTTCTAAAAATTGCAACTGTAATTCTTCCAAAATTCAATTATTTGTTTAGAATTTTTTAAATTAAATTATTCAAAACTTTAAGAATTTTTAAGGAAACATAATGTAATTAATAATTTTTTAAAATAAAAATTTAATTATTTTTATACCTACATTTGCTTCCTTTAAATTTTCAAAGAATTTATTTAAAAAATTTTTTTAAATTCAATTAATTCTTAAAATTTCTGTTATATCGCTTTAAATATTCAATTATGTATTTTCTAAAAAAATTAAAAAAAATTTAAAAAAAAAAAAAAAAAATTAAATTAAATAAAAAATTAAATTAAATTAAAATTTTATTTTTTTTTATTTTTTTATTTTTTTTTTTTTTATTAAAATTTTATTTAATTAATTAAATTAATTAAATTAAATTAAATTTAAAAAAAATTTTAACTCTAATTTTTTTTAATCAATTCATATCAGAATTCAACTACGAGAATTGAATTATTTATATAGAATAATTTTTGTAAATTCATAAAATAATGTATTTTCAAAAATACAATTATATTTATAATTCTTAACTTCTTCCACCTTCAAAAAACTTTAATTACTATTTTTCAAAAACCTAATTTTTTCAGAAGTTCCAAATTAAATCTTTCAAATTTTAATCATTTTTGTAAAATAAATATTTAAATACTTATTGTTCTTTATTTGCTTAAAATTTCGAAACACTTTTAATGTAAACCCATTGGAAAAATTTGTTATGAAAATTTAAACAACAAGTCTTCCAAAATTCAATTATTTTTTTAGAATTTTTGAATAATGTTATTAAAAACTTTTTGAAATTTACATAATTATTTCTAAAAAATCCTACTTTAACACTTTTAATTATTTATTTATTTATTTTCTAATAATAATAATTTAAAATTATTAATTTGTTATATTTTAATTAAATTATATTTCAGGCCTCGGGTCGACTTTAAGGCGCAAAATGTTCAAAACGTTGAAAGATCAACTCCTCGAATATTCAAAACTTGAAAAATCCAAAATGTCGAAATTTTAACTCCCTGAATGTTCAAAAACTAGAATATTCTTTAAAACCTCGAAAGATCAATTTCGAATGCTCAAAATCTAAAAAATTAAAATCCTCGAAAGTTCAACTTCCCGAATGTTCAAAACATCGAATATTGAAAGTAAAACGTTGAAAAAAGAAAGTAATAAATAATAATCAAAATATACCTTTGTATTTGTTTTTGAAATATTTGACAGTAGAGCAAGGAAACTTTGATTTGTTTCTTGCTTATCCAATAATTGAAGATAATTTTGCCTCGCACTAAGAATTTCCGTCAGTTGCTTTTTATGTTTTAGCGCAAGTTCAAGAGCCCTTGAAAATTTAAATTATGCATTAAATTATTATTAAAAAGTATAATTTTAATAATAATACTATAGTAGTTTACCTGTTCCAATTGTAAATTTGAATATTAATTCGAATCGCTTCATTCACTAAACCATTCTGAAGTAATATACCTTCCGCTGCCAATAAATCTCCCGCGAGTAAAGCCGTTTCTGCCAATAGTTCGGATTTCTTCGACAAGCCCTATTTAAGATTAAAAATTACGTTGTGAAAAATCCAAATCGCTGAATATTAACTATTAACTAAACATATTTTTTTATTATGAAAGAATTAAAATTCTCTGTAAACCTATAGAAAAAGAAAAGTAACGTTTTTTACTAAATGGAAAGTTTACTTACAAATATATAATTATCGGAATTTTTACGTAAGATTACTACCTTAATGTACTGAATGAATTCAACTTTGTCAAATCTGCCAATTGCTGCACAAGCTTCTTCAGCAACTGTCAATTCTTTGCTGTCTATTGCCATGACTGCCATGCAAGTCCATAGAATTTCATTCTGTCGAGAATATTGACAATATTAACAATTTTTTTTCGTATGTAAAGAGTAATTTAAAAAAAAATTACCTGTGCAATTCGACAAAGTGAAAGTGCTTCTGACCAACGGTTCTGTAAAATATGTCTATGTAAATTAGTAAAGAATGTATAAAAAGAAGAAACGACTAAAGCTCCATCACCTCGTCTAACAGTGACCATTCCATTTTGAACCCTCACAATACTCGGTTGCTTTCCATATTCGCTGAAAAACAAAATTTTTTTTTATTTATTTCATTTTTTTCAATTTAATTAATTTAATTTAATATATTTTTTGAAATTTTATTTTCCTTGTTATAAAAATATATTTTCGAATTAAAAATACAATTTTTAATTCAATAAAATTAAAAATAAAACCAAAACAGTAAAATACTTGAGTAGAAATCATACCTATTTTCTTTATCGATTCTCGTTTTTTTAATTGCCTTTCGATCACTATAATGAACGCAATTTGGACAAAGCCAAACCGACAGTGTTGCGTCCAACATTGCGACTAGAACGTCAGCATCACATGCCCAAACAATGCTCTGAGCCATGACAGCTAAAAAAATTTGATTCGGAATTAAAACAAAAATTCTAAGTCACAGTAGTCGAAAGTTTTGCCTTTTGACTTGAGTATTAAGTAGAAAGTAGAATTAAATAAAGACATTTGAGTTGTAAATTAAAAAGTATATGATTTATTACCAATTTTGCAAACTCGACCAAATCCAGTAGATCTGATGGAGACTAGAAATAAATCCCTGTTAATGTCGATAACTGCCAACTGACGATTATTTATCCCACCAACGTGATTTAAAGCCAATTGTTTAACATTCTCCAAGTGAACATACGACTGAAGTTCTGATATTGGTTTCGCATAGGAAATGTCCAACACGTGCAGTACTATTGCAAACGTTCCTTAATATATTAAATATATTAAATCCGATATTAAATAAAAACACGGAGAGAAATGGATATTTAAGGTAAACATCTAGATGTTAAAGTTTAATATTTTTATTTTTTAACATAGGGACAGCTATCTAGATATTAAAAGTAAATATCTGGATGTTAAGCGTTAATATCTAGCATGTGATTTGAATATCTAGATATTGAAGTTTAATATTTTTGATGTTAAGAGTTAATATATTTTTTCAATATCTACTTTTGAATATCCAGTTTTCTCCGTGAAGAAAAGTAAATAATTCGAAAAAGGAAACGAATTTTCTAATTACTTACATTTTTCACTACTTTGATCTCTGACAACTAATGTATCAGAACACAAGGATATGCTTGACGGATGCAACAATTCTTGAGACATTCCTTTCCATTTCGGAGTACCCAATGATCGTCCTTGATAATTGTAAAGAGTTATTATGTTCCATTCAACTAACAGAAAATGTCTACAAAAAAATTCGAAAATTAATTATCAATGTGAATTATATTTGAATAATTTTAAATGAAACATAATAAATTCAAAATTAATTCAATTAATTATAATTACATATATTATTTTTTAGTTTTAGTTATATTTAGTTAGAAAAAAGAATAATAATAAATAATTTAGTTATAATAATAATGAATTATTTCAGTCAAGTGTTTAAAATACTTTTCTGCAAGAAGAACCGTTGACACTGAGCCACTTCTTAAATCAAATATTGCCGGAGTATTCCAATTTAGTGTCGAGTAAATATGACATTGACTGGGAGTGATGACAACCAAATGATCAAATCCAAATTCCAGTAGAACAACTCTGTCGGCTATTTCTAAAATTTCCCGACATTCTGTGCCTATTTCTTTTATTTCTATTGCTTTTCGCCTTATAAGAGTTGCTTCGAAATTATTCCACTCTAATTTCCTGTAAATTTCAATTATTTTTTTTCTGTAATGAAACTTTGTTATTTTTGTTAAAAAATTGTAATTTAAATTACCTGTCAATTATATGAGCTGTGAGAACTATTCCCCTTCCGCATGCCATTGCCACTTGTGTACCGTCACTAGACCAAGCGATACTAAAAACACTGCCAATATTTAATTTTTCCAACGAATGTGACCACTAAAAAATTAACATTCATAGTAAAATATTTATAGGCAGATAATTAAAAATATTTAATAATAACAGTAATAATAATAATAATAGAAATGATAATGATAATAACAGTAATAATAATAATAATTACTCCAGTTTTGTCACAAAGTTTAACAGTATTAAAAGAACCAATTGAAAAATAATTTCCAGAATTGCACCAATTGACGGAAGTTATCGGATGTTCATTGACACCACTACTGTAAAGTTGATTTCCAATTGTGTCCCAAACCTTGCATATTATGACAAAAATATT